CTAGAGAACCACCCGAAAATAACGCCAGCAGGGTTCCATCTTCTGCCGGTGCACACAGATACCTCTTGGCAACAATTCAGCTTCCATCGTGTTACCAAGACACTGCTCTGGCATTAAAAATTCAAGTATCAGAGGTTTGTGCTTTTTGTGCAAGATTGGATGCAATGGAAATCGTCATATTACTGAATTTATGAAAATAAAGTTCCGTGTTTTGATAACACAGGCATCTTCTTAAAGGGACATCCGAGAGAGAAAAGGAGCATGTGCGGGGTGTGTGTGTGTGTGTGTGTGTGTGTGTGTGTGTGTGTGTGTGATATGTCTATTTCCAAAGGATGTTACAAAATCCAAATAAGATGGAAGTGAAATTCACACAAAGAAAAACCAGCTGTTTTAACATGAATAGCTTAGTGGTAGGCTATACCTTCACAAGGTTCCAAAATGGAACTTCTCTCAGTAGTTTCAAAATGTTTTCATCAACCCCAGAGGACACCCCAGACCCACAAAAATTTACTCCATGCCAACCTCCCCACGGGCCTATGTGACCACCAATCTGTTGTCTCTATGAATTTACCTAACCTGGTCTGTTTCATATGGAATCATAATGTGTGTGACCACTGTCTAATTCCTTTTTAAAATTATTTATTTATTTATTTGATACAGTGTCTCACTATGCAGTTTAGGCTCATAGTGATCCTCCTGCCTCAGCCTCCACGGTGCTGGGATTAAAGGTGTGCATCACCATGCCTGGTTTCGGCGTGCAGTAACAGGGATTAAACTCGGGTGCTTGCACTTGCCAGGCAAGAGTTTAGACCACTGAGCTATCTTCCCAGTCTTAATTTCTTTTAATTAACATAACATTTTTAATTTTCAAAGCCCATTCATGCAGCAGCATACATCGGCACTTGGTTCCTTTTTATAGGCTGAAAGATATTCAATTGTACATATACACCACAATTTCTCTATCCATTTGATCCACCATTTGGCTTTTGCGAATAGTGTGGGAGATGGGGTAGTTTTAAGATATGATGGGTGAGGAGATAGACCAGTGATTTCCAGGTCAGGCTAAGGGACAGCAATGTCTGCAAAGATCTAATAGTATACAGATTCTGGCAAGCCACACAGGCAGCGAGACCTTGGCATCCAAGCTCCCTGGGTGGTGGCACTGTACGGCAAGATCTGAGCATGAGAGTTGTAAAAGGGGCCATGATTTTATGAGTGTAAAGTCAAAGCTAACATAAGTAATCTTCTTCCTTGATGGTGGATTCCCAGAATCCCTTGCAGAGGAGCCTGTCCTGGCAACACACTGAAGCGTCTTGCTGGGCAGTTGCTCAGGGAAGGGTCAACAAGGAAAACTGGCATTGAGGGTTAAAGGACTGGTATCCCATATAAAGAGGCTTGAACGAGAGGCTCACACGGGATGCTCCGAGGTGACCACCAGGGAGGAAATTGGCTGGTGAGTCCACGGGGCTCACCCCCCAAGCCCGAGGCGTGGCCCACTTGTGGGTATATTCCACCATCTGAAGGGCAAAGTCCT